CCAAGTTATCGGTTTGCCTTGCCCCGCCCGTAAATTCTGTGGTCCCCGGCTCTTGCCGTTTGAGTTTCGTGTTAATATAAATACATTTCGTGGTTCACGATCGTCCCTCCCTTCGAAATATGAAATGTCTTCGAATGTTAAGTCGTTTTGGGATTGAAAAAATCGAAAGGTCCAACAGCACGTAGGTCTCATTAATTTTTACAACAGTTTTGATGTTGCAATTGCTTAACGTAATACAGATAAAAGTGATTTATGATTACCCGCCCAATATCGGTATCTGTCGTGTGACTAGCTTGAAATCAAAGGAACCTCAAGGACAATGAGGTGTGTGCGTGGTGGCAAATAACGCAGTTCCGATAATATTTATGAGTCTGGTGTACTACCATGGCGTGGAGGAACTGAGCTGCTACTATGTGAACATCTCTCGCGGCTGTGAGCATCCACTTCTTTGTTTTAAGTAATGTGCGGGATGTTTTTGCACTAATCACGGCAGGTTTCTGTCGGTATGAAAGTTTCATTTCTGTGACGTCCGGAGGTCTGCAGTTTTCTCATAAACGGCCTATGGAACAAAAAAGAATTTTCGTACCGGAGCTAAAGTGAAGGCAGTTCATCAGATGTATCTGCCGACACAAGTTTTGATTACATTTCTTTTAGTATGACTTCCGGATGTGGCGTATTGGTGCATTGTTATCCTCAATCAGCATGCTACGTGATATCCGTTCGTTATCGTCCAAAGATCACATCCATATGACGACGTGAGTTAGAAATTGTGAGAGTGTCACGCGTATTGCGTACATGCAAATTAACAGAGAAGTTAACAATGGTTTTGCAACTAAAGAGTATTTTAAATCTGGTCGAACTAAGTCCCCCAACAAAGTTAAAGCAGAATATAACGTTACCCTACAAAGAGGCGCGTTTGTGACATATCTCGAAGGTCATACCGGCTCTGGGGCCCACCCAGCCTCCTCTACAATGGGTACCGGGGTCCTTTTCCGGGGGTAAAGCCGGCCGGGGCGTGATGCTGACCACTCACCCCCATCTAGTGCCGAGGTCAAGGAAGAGAGGAGCTATACCTCCACTCCCCCCAAGCGCCTACATGGCGTATAGTGGGACAAACTTTACTTACTAGAGACATCTTTCACATGCCATCAAAGATTCCACAATCGCAGCTGCGCGTACATTTGAGGTGGGTGCAGTATTCAGAGTAAAATCTTGGGTCGACTGCGTTGGGCTGGCCATGTAGAAAAGGCAGAGAATGTGTAAAGAATTTTGGTGTTGAGCCCTCATGGGAAAACGTCCACTTGGATGACCGAGAAGGAGATGTGTGGGTTCGATTGAGACAGAACTTACGGAAATAGATCGTAAAGATGGGAAGTAGATGGAACTGGCACAGGATCGTGTCTGGTTACGAAATTCGGTGTTAGCGTTGTTGAACCTTCTCTTTAATTCGTGAGGTGGAACGATCATGACTACGTTAAGTATGGTACTCTGCGCTTGCGCATTACAAACCTGGCCAGACAAACCCAACCTAACATAACCTAACCTGTCTTACCCCTTCGCAAATACAACTCGTCTGTGCGAATATCATGATTTGTGGAAGGCTGCATGAAAATAATTAAATTTGGGTGTGTACCTTGTGCCACAGATGACTCTTCGAAGCGCTTACTTCCTGTCTTAGACCGTAAAGTAATATCGTGACGCATGAGTAGATGAGAGAGGCAGAATAAGGTTGACGGCTCTGTCCATGATCCGTTGCATATTCTAATAATGCCAGGGTTTTCGTAAACTATTTTCCACAGATATCGGTCTGTACCCATTTTTCGCAATCAGTATATCGGTTGTAAGGCATTTCGGTAAAATTGTTTTTGGCATTATGCCGCCGGGGACCACGTCCAGTAATAGCGTCACGGATGCCCCAATTGCTGACATGGAACGATGATGTCATCACCCATGACCACGTGCTCTAGTGCCTCTCTGGTAATTTGTTTGTTTTTGGAACTAGCATCAGAGCATCCAGAGGAAAAATATTTTGATTAAGGTCTGTGACGAGTTTCATTGAATTTTTATGAGGTTGTTTACAGATGCAAGTTTGTACGAAGATGCGCCTAGGAAAACTCGAAGGGAGGAAGTCTGTAACAGTAATGATCAACAGTTAAAGTGGGTTACTTTTGCATGCATTACTAAGGAATGCGGAAGACGTCACAATGTGAATGTAGTAATTGAAACGCTTTCGAAAGACATCTCTGTCCGAAACAAGGGTTCGCTGACCGATTAAAAGGAAGTGGGGTTTGCGATTTAGAATGTTAACGATTGCTGGGTAGAGGAGACCCACGTTTAAAGCCGCATTGCAATGAAAGTAAAGCGAATTTAAAACAACAAAGAATCGGGTTTCTACGATCACGTGTTGCGCACGGGGGTACTCACATGCTGACCTGGAGAGTGCATTAGAAATTATTATTTTACAGAAATCACCATTCTTTAACACTGCGCAGCTGTAAATAATTCTAAGGCAATGTCCTACGTAAGCGATAACAAGCGAGCTGTGCGAGCTGCATAAGCAGCATGGGGTGTCATATGACATAAGGGAATCGCTTGTTGTGTCCTACGTGAGAGACTGCAATAGAAGCACACGGTCTTTCTGCGCATGCACCTTCCCTGTACTGCGCATGCGCAGCGACCTGCGCGGAAATATCAAAATATTTGATCTCGGCTTTGGCCGCTGACCGCTTCGCTGTAACATAGGACAGCGCCACACAAACAGCCAGTTTGATATTTCCGCTTCACCCATGCAACTCGCACCGCTCGCATTTAATCGCTCGCGTAGGACACCGGGTAAGTTTTAAACATGTCGCCTCGCTTTCCTTGCGTGCATTTTATCCCCCCGCTCCGACGTCACTCAAATTAAATTCTGTCGCATTTCTCCGACGTTACCTGACTGAGGTGCATCCTTGCATTTGAAGTCGTGGAGATAACGTGGCAGTTTATTACGCTCCGAAGTGCGTCACGTACGTGAGCTGCAAACTACGCTCCGTTTCGTGGAATAGCTGTGCGTATCTGCAGCCGCGCAGGGCGAGCGCCCGTCCGTCAGGATGTGCGCACGCAAGGGTTTGTCTGTTTTGTGTGTCCTTTGCTCTGTGTACCTAGGCGAATTTCGTGCGCAGAATCGTTCTTAAGTAGCCAACAGTGGCTCGGATAGTGGAAATATACTTAGTCTCTTACGGAACTGCCGTGTTCACAGGAGCCAGCCACTGGTTGTCTTCCATGACTTAATCACTACTGGACAAAAAATTGAAGTTTCCTAATAGAATAGGATAGAATTTATGAACATTCCATAGATCCTTTTTGGCCTAAGCCAGGAATGTGGAACATGACATGGCACAATGTTTGTATTACTGCTTTGAGCCGATTCCTTTCTGAGAATCCGATAGTCGCTCAGCCACTCAAAAACTTCCCAACATTTTATGGAATCCGAATGTTCATTTATCGTGTGTACAAAATCCAGTCACTGGTCCCCGTCCTGAGCGAGATGAATCCAGTTCATGCCATCCAATCCTATTTTTCTATGATCCATTTTATTATTATTTTTTCACTTAAATCTGGGTCTTCGTAGTGGGATCTTCCCTTCTGGTTTCCGCACCAAAACCCTGTATGCATTCCTCTTCTGTCCCATGCGGGCTACATGCCCTGCCCATCTCATCCTCCTTGACGTGATCTGTGTAATCATATTTGGCGAGAAATACAACTTATGAAGCTCCTCACTATGCAACTTTCTCCAGAATCTGAGTAATTCATCCCTCTTAGGTCCAGATATTCTCTTCAACACCCTCAGTGTACGTTCCTCCCATAGTATCAGAGACCGAGTTTCACACCCATACAAAACTATGTAAACATGGGATTCGGAGTTGTTTCTTCAGGGGTAAAGCTATAACCACTTACTCCAATATACTGCGGAGGTTAAGAATACGTGGAGTTATATCTCCACGCCCCCATAAGTTTCAGTGACGTGGTACTTGGTGAAGCGTGAGGAGTCAACTTTACCTTTGCCTCCAACACTTTGAATCTGAATCCTTCTGAAAACAGAAATTAGATTGTCTTGTGTACACTTGCGTTTCAGCGTCTCTTTATGTCAAAATTTGCGGAAGCTGCGTGATTATCCGCGGAAGTGGTTTTGTGCCTGGTGTGGGGATTCTGTTTTGTACCAATGTGAAACTAACCACCATGCCACAAAGACGGACGTGAGTGCTTAGCTTCACTCACCGACCGCCTTACCCCTAACACCCGACGGAGGGAGGGACCAGAGTCTGTCTGGACACGGTGGAATGGAAACAGCTCAGAATCGTTGTGAATGCACTGCGCAACAAGATACGCGCACTTGAAAGCGCTCCCATGTCCCAGAGGTGATGTAAGCTCACACCTGGCTTTTCTCTACCGTGCATTCCGTACAGTTGTGTATGTCACACGTGTGTTCAGTAAAGAGACAAGTATATGTACCTTATCTGAGGAAAAACATGAATTAATGTTGATGAAATTTCCGAGATGTGAAACTAGGTTTTATGGCAAAACGAAGGCGAAGATTGTATTTTTTAATGCTTACGTGGAATTCACACGAATACTCGTTTGAAATGTGAGGTTATATGTTATTCAACTATTTGTTTTTAAATGTCCGTGTAAAATACCAGGAGCAAATGGAAATTGATATAAAAATATGTAGGTTGTGATGTTCAAAGAGAATGTGTAGTTTTTACATCATACGCAATCCAGTAACTCCTTGTTTTCGAGCAAGGAGTAGTCAGTATTATAATTCACATTATCACTGTAATATTTGTACTGCACTGACGGGGCTAGACGTTCAAGGGAAACTGTTTTTTTAAGTGATTTGCACTGGCATTGTGCTTTAAAAGTCTGTAATCTGACTTCAGAAACATTTCAGAAGATTTCGTGTTTCTTAAAGTATAGTGTGCACTTATACAAATATGAATTAGTGCTTTATTTAGCCTTTGAGAGGGCTGTTTTTAAGACCCGCCATCTTTAATGAGATGTCCAGAATCCCCGAGTCCATGCCGATACGTTTGAGAACCGTCGTTAAAGCTCGGAGATTGAGTAAAATCTTTCGTGGTTTCTACGGTCCCTCCAGAAAATCACGGGAGAGCACCATAAATTAGGCCACTACCACTTCCATCCAGATTTCGTTTATGTAACATTTTGATTTGGAATATTATCGATATGTGAAATATTTAACGAAATAAGTACGTGAAAGCATAACTTCTGGCCATGTGCATCATGGTGTCGCAAAGAACTCCTGAGAAAATGTGTGCTCCGACTTTCGACTCTCTGTGATTGCTGGTATTGCCACGTGTTGCCTGCTGCAGCTCAGCCTTTGCGTGGGACTGTGGTATGCATGGCAACCTGATTCTTCCTCAAATATTTCAGTCGCCACTTCACAACCACGTGGACGTGACAGCGACCGCTTTCAGCTGTACTCTCATTGCCGAATGGTTCTGGAACCTCCTCCTCCTCCTGCGTCTGTTCAGGTCGCAGATCTTGAAAAAGAAAATCTCTTGGAACAACGAAAATTACCTACCGCAATCCTTCACTCACCAAAAACTTTACCCAATGCATTCATAGATTAGTTAGCTGTGGACTGTAGCATTGTCCTGCATGATATGAATGCATTTTTCGTCTTTAGTCAATTTATAAAGAATTAATCGAACTTTTTTTGTCAAACAAATTGCTGTATTACTTTCTGGGCACAAACTGCGCTCCACACTCTGACTTTCAGATTGTGTACGGGCACTTTATGAGCAGCGTGAGGATTTTCTGTGGACCGTTATCAACCGTTCTGACTGTTTATGCACTCCATTATGGTAAATAATTGTTGAGCCAGCAGGGGAGTTGGTTAGTTTTCCAGGAAGAAGTTGGTAGCCTGCCAATCTGATATTTAAAAGTCATTGGTCTTATAATAAATTGGAGTCTGTAACATTTAGAGCAGTGGTCATGAAATACAATGCATACCTCATGATAATTTACCTATAATTTGATAATCTTATTAAAAGATTCTTTCATGTCTATTAATTATGCTTCAGTACAGAATGCCCTTTATGGCTAATGGGAAAATGTGGTTATGAATGGAATGGAATCCATTTGTTTAAAAAATTGTAGCAGAGTCTCCTCTCAGTATCGTGGGAGAACACTAGTTGGTATGTAAATGTCCACTAAACCATGCAGCTACTTGTAGGAGTTCTGTGATTTAGACTAGCATTTCTTACATGGGCTGTAATAAAAAAATATATTCAGAATGATTAACATTGCAAAATTTCATGTTCTTCAATATGACATTATTATAGTTTCTGGATATGTATGATTTCTGTGTGAAATGAAGGAACTGTTGAGCTGTATGGACAAGTATTTACCTGCCATTTTGAAATTTGTGTATGTACTCAGTTTATCAGTATCTGCGAAACAAAGCAACATTCTTACACTTCGCCCCTTTTTACCTTCAAAATTCTACCAGAGATTATTCCAAGACATATTTTCCAAGAATCTTATTGTCTTGATATGAATGGAGAAGAGTATTAAGTTTGGACAATGACAGCAAGGCTTTACTACATTGTCCAAAGGATTATGCTATTTAATGTCTCTCAAAAGTGTGATTCTTTCTGTCTGAACTTGCCTAACCAACTAACTAGATGGCTTACAGAACCTGAAGATTCATCACAGAATTCGCCAAAGCCCTCCACTGGACCCTGTCCTGGGCCAACAAAATCCAGTCTCCTTCAACTCCTATCTCCGATAGATCTCGCCTGACGTTATCATCCCATCTACGTCTAGGTCTCCCCAGTGGTCTCTTCCCCTCCGGCTTCCCAACCAATACCCGGTGTACACATGTTTGCACATGCCCCAACCAATACCCGGTGTACACCTGTTTGCACATGACCCGCCAAACTTGAAAATAAAATCATGACCTGATGTTATGCAGTCTGCTTTCCAACCTTATGGTTCTAACCAGAATACCAGGAATACACTCACCCACTTATCATGGATGGGTTGAAGGACCCAGCGAGTTTGATAAATATTTGCATGAAGCATACTGCAAGTGGATGTTATCAAGGACTGGTAGATTTTGATGTGTTTCTGGAGCGCTGGTGATAACTGACTAGTCAGCAAATTGGGAGACTATAAACACATCAGCAAAAGATATTTGAACTTCTTTTGTGTGTTGAGAAGTATCAGCATAGGAACTGCGCCAGCTTTTGATGACATGGCTGTTAGCAGTTTATTGAATTGTGCCATAGTTATGCTGTCAACTTTGTTATAAATGTTCGTCTGCTTGGCTAATACTTATAAAATTGTCATAGTTCAGTGACTTATCAGGTACAGATAAGTTAAAATGAGAAATATATGTGAATACACTACATTTATACAAAGCTTTTCTTCTGACAGACTACATTATACAGTGTGCTAACACCTTTTCCTTAAAGCACAAAAGTAAAATAAATATGAATGTCTGTTGCTGTAAGGCAAGCATAATGTAAATTGAAACAGGATCAATGATTTTATTTAAACTTTAGTGTAATGCTTTATATATGTCAGAAACTTGTAGTTTTCGTCTCTCTTGTCACATTTTAGTACCTGCACCTCCCTTCTAGAAACAAAGGTTTTCTGTAAAAGTGGTATTTTGGACTTGTTCATTGTTTGTGTGTCAATAAATCTACAACATGTTAAGGGGAACGACAGAAACCCTAGCTGTTGAGCCCCCTGAGTGGCAAGCCTCAGACTTCAACAAAGAAAATTCAACTTCCAAAACGAAGTCCAAATTACCAGTAGATGGCTGTCTTCTGGTAGCAGTTTACTGACGTTTCAGAGGTCCTTGCTGCCTCCATCATTGTCCTGATGATGGAGACAGCAAGGACCTCTGAAGCGTTGGTAAACTTCTACCAGACTACATGGCACAACTCAGAAGACAGCCATCTTCAGACTCACTGCCATGGAAACCTCTAATCCTCCAAAATACCACTTTTACAGATTATAATCTACTATCAGTAACCTTCAGACTTCACAGAGTTCTTTGTTTATGTGCTTGTCATCAGTATCATTGAACAATTTTTTAGTATTCATTGATACTTAAATGAAAGAAAGGATAACTTGATAATTATTATGAATTTGGTGTTTGGGTAATAGGAACTTTGTAAGGGATCATAATGACACCACATCAACCCTGCATTCATATACTGATTAGCATTCTATCTCTGTCTGCATAATATTGTTCTTATTGGATTGATAATTATACATGAGGCTTATTTACGTCTGCATATGTCTGCTTCAGCACAAGGGCAACACATCAGGCGTGGAACTGTTACAAGATGAACCCGCACGTGGTGTTGCAGGATGGGCTGCATCTTTTGAGAAGCTTTTGGGAGATCCAGCAGGGTTACACACATTTGCTGTGAGTTGTTAAGCTCTTTCCACATATGGGGTCATGATAATTTGACACATGTACAGCTACAGGATCTAGACTCTGCTAAATAGCGTCTTCAGTTGATACTGTGTTGTTACATTACCCGCATGCCAATCTTTAGGGCATGGTGCTGTGCTTGGATTCAGTCTAGGAACCAGAACAGACCTCAGGATTGTCACTCTTCTTCCCTGATTTAAATATCAGCTGCCAGCAAGCAGATCTCTACCTCATCTTCTCATTACGATTTCCTGCATGCGCAGCTATGGAAAGAATGGCTCCTTAACCACAGTGACACTTTATAGTCTCTAGTCTTTGTTTCTTTTTTTCTACTTGGCCATTAAAGTATTTTCCAAATAGTTTGTATGCACGAAAATGCTACATCTGAATGATTTCATTTATGTTTGCAGGAATTCTTGAAAAAAGAGTTCAGTCATGAAAACATCTACTTCTGGGTGGCATGTGAGAAGTATCGATCCCTCAGTAGTCCTACTGAGCGTGCGTCTTCTGCAAGGGACATCTTTGAACGCCACCTGTGCCTGGGTGCACTTGAGCCTGTAAATGTAGACTCCCATGCACGCCAGGCTGCACAAGATGGTCTGACAGAAGCGGCTCCTACGTTGTTTCTTCAGGCACAAAAGCAAATCTTCAACTTAATGAAATTTGACAGCTACCCCCGGTTCCTCAGGTCAGAGCTTTACAAGGAGTGCCTTGTTCGGGAGTTATCTGGACAGGAATTGCCCTGTGCTGGTGGGGATGATCTAGATGCAGGGCTGCAGCTTCATAGCACTGGTGAATCCCCAAATCATAGCAAGGTAAAGCCACACTTTAAAATGTTGCTGTAGTTACATCAGTGAAAACCATTTGTGCAGAAGTATTTTCTTATGACCAGAAACATGTTGAAGAGCCTTAAAGTTTATGAAGTTTATTTTCTTCCCCTCCCATCATAGCAGAACACGATAAAAATATTTATTTCATTCTTTTTAACTAGTTGCATGCTATGATTTGTTAATCAGACTTCCCTGTCTCTCTCTTTTATATGAATTTTTAGTAACTCATAATTTATATTAGTAGAAAGCACAAAGCACCCTGATAAATATAAGGAATATTTAATTTTTTAAATAATGCTTGATGTATAAGTATATTTACTGTTACATGATTAAATTTTATGTTCTTGATATGACATGTTATCATTGCACCAGCCATAGTCTGGACTCTTGTGCTGTATTTCTGGTCATAAATATAATTTTTCATATCTCTAAATCTAATTATAAGGAAAAGTTGGGTAAGTTATGTAAAATGTAAGTTATTTAACTTATAAAATTAAGATAATGTGGATTACATAATGGATAAAAGTATGCACTTAAATGTTATATAATTAATATAATTGTTGTAATGAGATTTTTTATTTTGCAGTTGAAGAAAAGTAGGAGTGATGCAGAAGACCGTCATAGAAAATCGTTGCTTCCATGGCATAGAAAGAATCGCTCCAAATCAAAGGATCGTGGTGAATCAGAGTACAACAAGATCAGAATGCTTCAACAGAAACGTGACACGGATGACACAGTATCTGTGCGTAGTGATGTCACCAGCAGTAGATCCTCTCTTGCTTCCTGGGATCTTGCCTTGAGAGGTTCATTCAGCCGTCAGTCTGTGACGTCTGGAGAGGGCGAGACTTGTTGTACTCTGTGTCGTGTAATCTTGCCTGATGGTGCAACTACAGTTGTGCAGACACGAAGCAGCGAATCTATACGTGACCTCATATTGCGACTGTTAGACAAGCGAGGTCTTCATTACTCTGCATTTGAAGTGTTTGATGGTAACAGTGTAAAGGTAAATGTCCATATTATATCTGGGATTTTATTTCAGGCGCATAGATTAAAAGTACAGTGAACATAACTGTCTTCTTTCTTGGTTTCTTAATTTAACTATGCTTATACTCAGGAGATCCCATGTTTTATATTTGGCCTGGAGAGTGGCTGGCCTTGCTAGTGTACTTCATGATTTTCCACTTCCGAGATACTACCTTCAAGTGGGTGGCAATATGATTTGTGTATCTGACTATGCTAGAATTTGACCTTTCCAGATTAAATTATTCATGAATACACCTGCTTTATATACCAGTACATATTAAGACACAAGAGTAATAAAAACTCACGATTATACATAACTCATAAAACAGGTACATTAATATGCTACTGAAAGTTTAGTGCCAATAAATCTTAACTATAAATCTGAAAAAATAAGTAAATTGCTCAGCCTTCTCAGCCACAGAGCATGCAACTGTTAAGAATCAGAAGAATTCTCTGTTGTTGACACTGCTCCCTCTACCTGCTCTCTTCAACCTTCAAAAGTCTCAAACTTGCTTAATTTTATTCAATCAATTGACGTTCAAAAATGTTTTTTGGTACCAGTAATACATGGTTCATGTTGGTTTTAGGTGTGTTAACAGAAATTGCAGAAATTAGCCTGTCATTGTAACAACGTGAGAAGCAATGAATGGATTTTCACGAAATTTTATACTGAGTCTTGGGAGTTAACATTTTATTATTAATTGGTACTCTTATATGTAGGGCAGTCAAAAAGTTCCTGGAATTGTGGTATAGCACAGTAATGGTAGGACATATGGCAACGCTTACCTAATCACCTTCAAAGTAGGACCATTGCGCGCGCACACACTTGCTCCTTCGATCCTGCCATTGTTGGAAGCACTGGCGGAAGGCTTCGTTTGGAATCTTCTGGAGTTCGGCCGTCGCATTCGACACCTCGCTGGTTGTGCAGCAATGCCTCGCCGAGAAAAGCATTCCCGTCATCACCCAACCACTATACTCTCCGGATCTCGCTCCGAGTGACTTCTGGCTGTTCCCTACTCTGAAAATTGGCCTCAAGGGGACACGTTTCGCAACCATGGAGGACATCAAATCGAATGCGATGGTCGAACTGCGGAAGATTCCAAACGAATCCTTCTGCCGGTGCTTCCAACAATGGCAGGATCGATGGAGCAAGTGTGTGTGTGCGCAATGGTCCTACTTTGAAGGTGATTAGGTAAGCGTTGCCATATGTCCTACCATTACATTGCTATACCACAATTCCGGGAACTTTTTGACTGCCCTCGTATATATTTAAAGAGATGTCAAGCATCATGTGGTGAAAGAAACACCTTTGGAGTGTTTGTTTACACCAAAGAGAACACCTTTCCATTCTTGTTAACATTGGTTCTCTGGAGGTAAATGTCTTTGATTTATGCATTTTCACGTTACACTTCTTTTTTCAGTCATACCTGTGTACCTGCTTCCAATCTTTTGACCAACTAGTTTGTTCTGTGTCTTTCCCCAGCCACTCTCCCTTGATGAAGACTCTACAGTTCTGGCAGGCAAGGAGGTTCGTGTGGAGCAGCGAGCTGTGTTCAGGCTTGACCTCCCAAACAGGAAGACTGTTGGTGTCAAGGCAAAGCCTGGCAAGTCACTGGCCGAAATCCTGCGGCCAATCCTGCATAAATATGGCTACAAGCTGGAGCTTGTGACATTGTGTTTAGTAAGCATTAATCTTTCAGTTGTGTGAATTTGTTGATCAATAAGGTCTCTTGTCTCTGCAGGATTATATATATATATATATATATTAAAGTAAGGGGTATTTTTAATATATTACAGGTGTCTTCACTTTGCATTTATATGAGCAGCAAAGCATATTTAATTTTGCGCCAAATACATTTGTGTGTTCTGTGTATCAGGGACTTCGAACTGAATAGATCCGTAGTTTAAAATGAAGGCTGAAATTGAGGGGCTGAGTAAAAAAGGTGATTGATACAAGTTACATTTCTTAAGATTGTGAGGATGGAAGGATCCTGTTCATATGGACCTGTCGTCAGACAGAACACTAAATAAATATAAATATAGAATGGTTTCTTCTCTTTAATACATCTGTTTGCAAGTGTTTCTGTTAGTAGCTTAACCCAGTAATGGGTCATTGCCGCCTCCTTTTGGAGGTTTCTTAGTCTTTGAGGCGTGCATTTATGCTCAGTGAATGACAAGCCCACTGACTGCACAATTTCTACTCAATCCTGATTTAACTGCGAGAGCCATCTAGCAGTGAATGAGGAGAGACTTGGGTGAGAAATGACCACTGAATTTTGATTATGAAACATCTCGTATCATGCTCGGAAGGTTCTTTTACATGCCGTAAATCTACGACATGGGACCGCCGGCTTTACTTCCCCTCCGAAGGAAGTTGTGCTACGGATTTTTATCACCCTTAAAAATCCATCAACCTTGGCCGGGATCAAACCATTAGTCCACTGAGAGCGACTTTGTAACTTGTAAATTGTGGATGCAGTTACACATAGCATATCTAAAAATATAAATAATTTACAGAACTGTTGTTGGCTTGTTTGGAAATAACGAGACTCTTATTACACGTCACACACAGAAGTTAATATTAAGTGTAACTCAGGAGAAAAGTGTTGACCTTGGCAGTGTAGTTCTGCATGAAGTCCAATGGTGGGAAATATGTGGCTGTAAATTCATCATTAGAAATCTATTTGTTAAAACACTGCATTGTGCAGTTTTGTATTTTTGACAAGGTCCATATGTTCCCCTCAACCTTCATCCATACTGCCAAGGTCAAAGATTTTCTCCTGAGTAACAGACAGTATTTTGCTTGTGCATAAGTATTAGGTGGTAGTAATCGCGTAATCTATTTTCGCAAAAAATGCTGTTTCAACACAAGTAATATTCACTGCACGTGCCCAACAGTGAACCAAGCAGAACCATTTCTTTGAAGCATGCTTTTGTTTCTACCATATTTTCATTGAAGTTCCACGTAGTCGTCTTGTGTATAAAAACGTTGTGTTGCCATTATATTCCCGCAGTTTGCTGGGGCACAGCTGAGGGGTGATGGTTTATTGGAGAGAGTGGTATTGCACCAAGATTATTTCAACATGGCACTTTTAAATGACTGAACAGGTCAAGGAGAGACATGGTGCAGAATACAGTATCCCCTGATTTTAAATGGAGTTTCAGGTATATAGAACAAAGGGTCACAGAGGTGCAGGATCATGTACATGTTTTTACTACCTGACTGGTTGCAGACATCTCATAGCCTGTGCACCCATAACATTTTAATTTTCTTAAAAACATAGGCTTGTACAATACATTTTTAATTGTAAGTAGCCATTCTGCGCCGGCCACGCGGTCTGAGGCATGGACCTCGTGCGCCTGGCCGCTGGGACCGTGAGTTTGAGTCCCACTCAAGGCATGGATGTTTGTCCGCGTCTTTCGGTGTTTATATAAGTAGAGGCTGTGCGTCAGGCTAATCACTCATCCAAGGAGTCTTACCATTGTCCAAATAGATCAATCGAATAAATAAAAACCTCGACACCTACGGGTAAAAGAGGATGAGAGAAAGAGAGTAGCCATTCTGTAATTTATTTTACTAAAACAATGTTGTGTTCTTGGAATTATCAGTATCACTTGGTACAGTGAAAATCCTGATTAGAGACTTTTCTTATGCATTTATACACCCAACCACCAAGAAAGTAGGTAGTGGTAGGAATTTGAAAAAGGAGCAGATGCAATAGGACATGTCAGGTCAGTGTAACAGATATGGTTTTATACTGTTTCTGAGTTTTACATTTTTTTCTGACAAGACACAAATCCCTCTTTTATTGACGTCCCTTGTTAGCATAATTTGATTTTAAGATACATACTCACTGTCAGGCCAATGTTCAGCCAACATTCACTTAGCTATGTTTAATTTTTAAATGTGTGTATGAAAACTATGACATGATGCAAAATTTCTGCATCCAGATTTGGAATCAGCACTTCAGAATTAATTTTAAAAACGAGTTTTATGTTATAATATTGTTTAACTGTATGTTTGCTTGTAATTTATAAACTTCTGAGGGAATAAGAACAAAAACTCGGAGGATAATATTGGACCTATGAATAGGGAGTATCTTAATAATGAGTTATCATCCGCTGTTATGATTAGGGTGATTAAAATGAAGGATATGAAGGACAGAGCATGCTGGAAAGATGTGGGAAATGCATACAAAAAGTTTTCAAAAAATCTCAGGGGAAGAAGCCTCTTAAGAGATCTAGGCTTAGATGGGAGGATAGTATTGAAATTAATTTTAGAGAAACATGGTGTGAAGGTATGGACTGGTTTCAGGAGACCAAGAATAGTGCCCAGTGACTGGATTTTCTGAACAAAGTAATGTAGTACTGGGTTTCATAAAAGCAAGGACTTTCTTGAATAACTGTCAACTTGTAAAGGATGTTGTTGGTTGCAGGATGAAATGTTTTCTTGTGTTCACAGATGAGTGAAAATGAAGTTGTGGAACTCAGTGCACTGGGCATGACAGTAGACAACCAGCGACTACAGGTGCTCACAAGGAATGCAGAAGGTAAAATACTTTCAGCATCATCAAATGTTATAGTTTTCACCAGCCTTGAATAACAATATAGGCTCTAAGCAGGATATGTATTTTCAGCCTGGAAGAATGAGGTGACGCACACTGTAACATCACAACATAAACTTAAGGCTACAGGCCCAACATTGGATGAAATCACAAATCGGGTATTTGAGGAGCTATTGCAAGGAAAGGTTACTGACAGCACTCATACAGCGTCCGATCAAGGATCTATCAGGGTATGAAATTCAAATCACTAAAGTTAATTTCTGTATTGATGAAGAGCTCATCACCAGCTGCACCCTACCACCTGAATTCCTTGTGATCATTTTTTTTTTAAAAGTGCAATACATATTGCACATGTATTAAAGTGTATATACAGCGTGTTTTTCGCATGAAGGTACA